AATCACAGATTGATCCTTAAACTCTATTACTTACTCTTTACTTCTGAGAAAAGGGAACTGAGCCCAACAGACTTCATCAGCTTTCAAATGTTCCATATTTGGGTATATTTCTCTTGATTTCAGATCATGCAACATTTAAGGTCTCAAGTTTATAATTTAGTGAATATTTTACCATCTTTGAAGTGAAGACTTTGTAACCAAGGTAGAGAGTCAATTTCCTTTGAAGGATTACAGGATTTGTCTCCAAATTTTAACTGTAACTCTATCTTTTAACAGGGGTTTGTCATACCACATTAAATGATATTTTTCTCAAAGTTAAGACTCCAAATATGACCTTGCTTGAACTATTGATTTATCCAATTATACCCTAGTAAGATGGAAAACAAAGTCATATTGCATTTATGCAATAATTGATTTTCATTATAAATAAGGGGACTCAGCAAAATTATTATGTTTTTTAACTATTGAAGGGATATTTGGAATTAGATATTAATTTTGAATGGCTTTTTCAGGTTTAAAAATATAATCTACTAGATTGTGTGTTGGACATAAAAAGAGAACTTCATATTTCTACTTCAATTAGAAAATTAAAAAATAATGAAAACAATGTTCCAAGATATTAATCTCTAGGAAATATGAAAAAAAGAAACAGGAATCGCCATCTCATGCTAATTAACAATTAAGAATACAGTGAAAATCTTTCCAAAATACTTTTTATGATCTGGACAACTGACAGCTCAGGACTTTGCCCCTTGAACAAGGTATGACAAATGAAGAAAGTCCTGTGATTGCTCCTTTGCCCTTTGCCTGCTAAAGTGAGTTTTCTGATTATGCAATTGAGCTAGTCTACAAGAATTGAAGAGTTGGGAGTTCAGAGACAAAGGAAGCCAAATCCATGAGGCAGGATGCTAAAGAAGGAGGGCTGCACAGACGGCCCTGAAGACAAGGCAGAATCTGCCTCCGGGGTCTTCAACTGAGTCATTATCAGAGTAGGAGTGTGAGGACAGGCAAAACACTCCACAAGGAGGAAATTAAACAATTTCTAGAGCACTTGGGAGCTAGGAACAGTCACTTTTACAACAGCCATATTGGAAGACATCATAATTTACAGGGCTTTGAGAAGTGTTCTTTGTAGTGTGAACACATTAGCCCTAAAATCTGCCAAGGTCCCACCCTAAAAAGCATAACTGCATCCCAGAGTACAGCTCAAAACTCATTTAAATGAATACAAAACACATCCACAGGAAGTACAGAATTGCAGCATCCAGCGTCCAGGTATGAAAAGAAGTGGAAGAATATGACCCTTAGCAAGAAAAACAAAATACCTGCCCAATGAGATAGAATCAGGTATGCTCCTTAGGACAGATTTCTTTAACAAGGACATTGCATCAGTTGTAATTAGTATACTCGGTATGTTCACTAAGTTAGTAAACAGCATGCACATGTTAAGGAAGATATGGGGCATATTAAAACATTAAAAATGAACTTGTAGAGGTAAAAAAAATACAGTGTCTTAGGGGCCGGCACTGTGGCACAGCGGGTTAACGCCCTGGCCTGAAGGGCAGGCATCCCTTATGGGCGCTGGCTCTAGTCCCAGCTGCTCCACTTCCGATCCAGCTCTCTGCTATGGCCTGGGAAAGCAGTGGAAGATGGCCCAAGTCCTTGGGCCCTTGCACCCATGTGGGAGACCCAGAAGAAATTCCTGGTTCCTGGCTTCTGACTTTGGATTGGCACAGCTCCAGCCATTGCAGCCAATTGGGGCATGAACCAGTGGATGGAAGACCTCTCTCTCTCCTCTGCCTTTCCTCTCTCTGTGTAACTCTGACTTCAAATAAATAAATAAATAAATAAATCTTTAAAAAAATACAGTGTCTTAGACTTAAAAATCTGCTAGATGAACACTAGAAAACAGGTCAGTGTGGCAGGCTGCCCATGAAACTACTCCAGATGATCTCTGCCTTTGACCTCCATACCTTTGTGTAAAGACTTTCTCCTGGGGCCAGAGCTGTGTTGCAGTGGGTTAACGCCCTGGCCTGAAGTGCTGGCATCCCAATTGGGCGCTGGTTCAAGACCCGGCTACTCCACTTCTGATCCAGCTCTCTGCTATGGCCTGGGAAAGCAGTAGAAGATGGCCCAAGTCTTCCGGCCTCTGCACCCATGTGGGACACCAAGAAGAAGCTCCTGGCTCCAGTTCAGCTCAGCTCCAGCCCTTGCTAGCAATTGGAGAGAGAATCATCAGCTGGAAGACCTCTCTCTCTCTGCCTCTCCTCTCTCTGTGTAACTCTATCAAATAAAATAAGAAATGCTTAAAAAAAAAGAATGTTTCCTTTAAAAAAATTATCTATTTGAAAAGCAGAGTTTCCCGGTGGGGAGGTACAAAGGGAGAGAGTCCAAGCTCTGATTCACTCCCCCAAATGGCCATAACAGCTGGATTTGTGCTTGGCTGAAGCCAGGAGCTAGGGAGCTAGGAGCTTGTTCTCGATCTCTCATTTGGGTTCAGGGGACCATGCACTTGGGAGATTTTCTACTGATTTCTCAGGCCATTATCTGAGAGCTGCATCAGAAGCAGCCTATCTGAGATGCTGGTGTCACAGGCAGTGGCTTAATCTATGCCACAATCTATGCTACGACACAGGTCCCAAGAATTCCTCTTAAGTAACTTGCTTCTAACAAGGATACAGCCATGTTGAAAGTGGGGGCACTTCTGTGTTAGATAATTGTGAGTTCCTTCGTTTTGGAAGCCTCTCTGTTGTCTTCTTAATTTGCATGCTTTGACAATGCAAGCAGTCCTGGTATAGAAGGCCACATGGTAAGCAACTGAATGTAGCTTCGGGTCAATAGTCTGCCAGGGATTGATGCACACAACCAAATTCCCACTAAGAACTTAATTCTACCAGGAACTACATGAGACTCACAGTGGATCCTTCCATGTATACCTTCAGTTGTGACCACATATCCTGCAAACATTTGATTATAGTTTTATGAGAGCCCCTGAAACAGAGAATTCATTTATATCACACTCATGCCTCTTGACCACATAAAACATGATAATAAATGCGTGTTATTTTAAACTGCTAAATGTATGGCAAATTAATCTGTAGCAATGGATAACCATATAACTAGTCAATTTTACATTGATATAATACCATTTTAAAACATGTCACAGTTTATTTTCAGACACAGATCCTATAGTGGACAGAATAGCACACTCTTCTTTGCTAAAAGATGTTCACACCCTAATCCTTGAACCTGTGTATATGTTACCTTACCAGAGACTTGGTAGGTATTAATTTTAGGAATTTGAGTAACAGTTTATTATTTTGCAATATTTGGGTAGTCCCAATACAGTCCACGTGTTCTTGAAAGAAAAGAGCGAGGCAGAGAAGTCAGAGAAGTTGTGACTATGTAAGCAGGGATCGGGGTGAGGAGATTGCTGCATGCGTGGGTCCCCTTAGTCTACTTTCACTTGTAGCCTCTAGAACTTGAGAAATACAAACTTTTTTTTTTCTGTGAGCTTCAGGAAGGCATGCTGACCTACTGGTACCATTATTATAGCTTAATGAGATCTATTGATTTCATATTTCCAGTATTTTAAGATAATAAACCAGGAGTATTTTAAGTCATAAAGTTTGTGTTAATTTGTTACAGCAGCAACAGACAATTAATATATGTCTTACAAATCAAAGCAAATAAAATTATTACTTCTCATACCTTTGAAAACCATTTTGTCTTTGATTAACCTTACACATTCCATGGTAACCAAAATTCATACATTAGGATAAATGTATTTATTCTACCTTTAAAAGCATGTTCCCCATTATCTCATGTACATGGTTCTGCTTGTTAATACTTTTCCTGGGATTACTTTATGCCTCCATCCCATATCCAAGTTCCAGGTTTGATCCTGGTTCTAGGTCCTGACCTCAGCTTCCTACCAATGCAGACCCTGGACAGCAATGGTGATGGTTCAAGTGTTTGGGTTCTGTTCATACAAGTAGGAGACTAGATTGAATACCAGGCCCTTTGCTTGAGCCTGTCCCAGTCCTGGTAGTAGTAGGAGTTTGGAAAGTGAACCAATGAAGCTGAGTACTTTCTCTTTGTCAATGTGCCCTCCCCATCTCTCTTTTTTCTGTCCCTTTACATTTCAAATAAATTAAGTAATTGAAAAAACAATAATAAGCTACATCTATAAATGACTTAAATGAACTAGGTTTATTTCATAAAGTAAGAAAGAGAGACAAAGCTGAATTGTGTTACAACCAAGAATTTTAGCAGATTAGCAAAGTTTAAAAATAAACTTGATGTGATTTTCTTTTGCCAACACATCTTTTGCACCTTTCTAAAAGTGGTAAAAGTATAAATGTTAATTAATATTACTCAAAGGAAAAAAAAGATTGAAAAGTATATTTAAAAAGAGAAGTAGAGGGGCTGGCACTGTGGCATAGCAGCTGAAGCCTCCACCTACAGTGGCGGCATCCCACATGGGTGCCAGTTCATGTCCTGGCTGCTCCACTTCCAATCCAGCTCTCTGCTATGGCCCAGAAAAGCAGTAGGAGATGACCCAAGTCCCTAAGCCCCTGCACCAGTGTGGGAGACCTGGAAGAAGCACCTAGCTCCTGAATTCGGATCGGCCCAGCATCAGCAGTTGGGACCATTTGGGGGTGAACCAGTAGATGGAAGATTTATCTCTCTCTCTCTCTTTCTCTCTCTCTCATTCTCTCTATCTAAGTCTGCCTTTCAAATAAGTAAATAAATCTTTAAAAAGAGAGAGAGAGAGAAGTACAAATTCATAGCATAAATACATGTTTCAAAATCAAATATCATTATTCAATCCCACTGAGAAAGTATTGAAATATCCAATACTGTCCAATATCTCAAATTAATAACTCAAAATTTTAAATTACATAAAGTTCTTGAAAATTGTTTAAGCTAACAAAGAAAAAATATCATACTATATATTATTTTATTGTAATTACTATTTTAGTAGACATAACCGGTTTAACTGTGTCATAATCTTAATATTATATTATGATTCATGCTAGTTTACTTGATCAGATAGCCAATATAAACATTTAGAAAGCTCACATAATTAGCTTTAAAAAACAGATTTATTAAAGGAAATAAAATGTTCATATTTATTATCTTCCACCATGATGTCCTCATGAAAAGATCGCATAGATTTTAATTTAAACACACACACATGCACACACACACACAATTCTTATATTAGTCTAAGATTTAGAGGCTTGCCTTAACTATATGAACACACATTCTGAAAATAATCTAGCAACTTCTTTAAGAAGGATTGTTTTCCTTAATACCCTGTGTACTTAAAGTATTAACGTTTAGCTTATTCTCTGAGAATTTAAGGAATATTTTATTTACTTAAGGATTTCTTTATCTATATACATCAATGAAAACAGTTTTTTTTAATTTAAGATATGCTACTATTCAATTTATTAATGCCGTCCAGAGGCAGGAAAGCATTTCATACTTGCGTAAGTGGGGAAATCTTGCATAAAGGTACAAACATGCAGATTCACAGACACATAGACATTGGTAGTTTCAGTTCTACAACATTCTGTACAACAGTAAATATAGAAACAAATTAACTACCCACTCCAGACTTCAAGCATTTTCTTATACACATGAAATCAGTATTTGATCGGAGCACAGAAATAGTCAAAACAAAAGAGTAGCAAATCAGATTCTCTGTAATCTCTTATCCAAAATAGAATGTTTAAAACCATTTGTCTTACAGAAATCATTGGCCGGCGCCATGGCTCACTAGGCTAATCCTCCGCCTTGCGGCGCCGTCACGCCCGGTTCTAGTCCCGGTCGGGGCGCTGGATTCTGTCCCGGTTGCCCCTCTTCTTCCAGGCCAGCTCTCTGCTGTGGCCAGGGAGTGCAGTGGAGGATGGCCCAAGTGCTTGGGCCCTGCACCCCATGGGAGACCAGGATAAGTACCTGGCTCCTGCCATCAGATCGGTGCGGTGCGCCGGCTGCAGCGCACCAGCCGCCGCAGCCATTGGAGGGTGAACCAATGGCAAAGGAAGACCTTTCTCTCTGTCTCTCTGTCTCTCTCTCTCACTGTCCACTCTGCCTGTCAAAAAATAAAAAAAAATAAAAAAAAACATTTGTCCAACAGAAATCATCAAAAGTTCAAATCATAAAGTAAAACCCTAAATACTGTTGCCATCAATGAGGAATAAGACACTAACAATATATGAATGCGAAAGAAAAACAAAACTGGAAAGCAAAAGAGTGGGGATTCTGTGATAGTGGACAGGGAGGTAAGGCTCGAGTTGTATTGCTGGAAATGAATATTTGCTGGGGCCAACTAGTCATGAGGTGCATATTTTGAGACAATGCTCCCTGATAATCCCAAGGTCCTTCCTGAAAGTCAAGGGCTGTTTTACATGTCAGGTTGTTCTGTAGTCAATGCACTGGGAAGATATAGGCCTCAGATACAGGTGCAATTGTTGTGCATTGTAGTGAGGATAATGCCTTCTTTTTGGGCAAAGGTAGGACAGCTTTCCGAGGAGTTACATAGAAATATTATTATCTAAAACTGTAGCTCCTCAGCTGTGATAAACACCTACTGTATATGCACAATTTAGCTGGGCCTGTCTCTGCCTGTTCCATGGATGTGGGGATACAAGGGGAACTGATGTAGTTAGGAAGTTTTTTTGCTGCCTACCATGCTGTTGTTTGCTCTGATACAGGGATCTTATATCTTCCCCTTGTATTAATGAAAGTGTGGTCAGCTAACTTATTAAATTGGATGATAAAAATCTCAAACCTTTCACAATTCTTGCTTGTTGCTTTTCTTTAACCATACAATTTCCTTGAGTCCTTTAGGTAAGCATACTTTTGCACTTTTGGGGATACTATCCAAATCTATTAAGTGTAAGTTTCAAAAAAATATCAAAAAACATGATATTCCCACTAACATAAAATGAACATAACTCAGAGATTTTCTTTAATTCATGAATTATTGAAATAACTGTAGATTGGGCCAGCGCTGTTGTGCAGTGCGTAAAGCTGCCGCCTGCAGCACTGACATCCCATATGGGCACTGATTTGAATCCTGGCTGCTCCACTTCCGATCCAGCTCCCTGTTAATGCACCTGGGAAGGCAACAAAGGAAAACCCAAGTGCTTAAAACAAATTAAAAAAAAAAAAAAAGAAAGAACTGTAGATTATTGTGACTTCCTCAAAGAATAGTCGAGAAACTACATTTCTAGTAGAAGAATAAGAGTGTGAGCTGAATACAAAACTAGGTAATGCACAATAGAAAAAGACCCCAAAGAGGCCAGAGCTGTAGCTAAGCTTCTGCATGCAACACCTGCATCCCTTATGGGTGCCGATTCGTGTTATGGCTGATTCTCTTCCTATCCAGCTCTCTGCTAACAGCATGGGAAAGCAGTGTAAGATGGCTCAAGTGCTTGGGCCCCTGCACACACATGGAGTACATGGAAGAATCTCCTTGCCCCTGGCTTGGGATAGGCCCAACTCTGGCCATTTGGGAGTGAACCAGTGGATGGAAGACCTTTCTCTCTTCACTCTCCCTCTATCTGTAACTCTGCCTCTCAAATAAATAAATAAATAAATGTTATAACAGCAATAAAAAAGACACCACAATCTTTAGGTCCCTACCAGAATAAAACAATCAAGATATGTTTGCCACTATATACTTACAAAATATGCCAATAAATAAATTTTCAAGTCAAGTGCTTGCCCTGAAAGATAACCTGATAATCCTTCACCAATTTTTATCTTTTAGCTGATGTTTCTTACTTAAGATTGGGAGAATTATGTAGACAAATATATTTAGCCCGCTCAGAAAAGCTCTAGGCAAATAATTCAATGAATTAGATACTAAATTAATGTTATCAATTATTTTGTTCATTAATTTGTATTTTTAAGAAATTCTAGTATAAAATATTCTCTGTTTTTCCGGCAGAAAATAGAGCAGGTTTTTAGCTAATTAATGATCTACTAACAGGATGTTCATGTTGGTAATACTCCCAACATAATAACCACAAAATCTTGTGCCATCTTAATATGTCATTCAGTATTCTTTTATCATTCTAATTCTAGGCGTTAGAAGCACTATTGGAATTCTATTACAACAGTCTCTACTGTCTTCTGTACCAATTATGGTTTCCTAGGTTTCCATTGTATATCATGAATTAACTTATCATGTATGCATAGACTATAGTAAAATTATCCACAGTGGTTCTTAATTCTCTCGAGGAAATAGGTCCACAAAGGCTCAGACAGGAACTGCTACATCAGTAGCATCCAGGGGCTTGTATAAATATAGATATTCTCTGTCTCCACATACATTTCCTTTGTGGGAACTGGGATTTTAGGAGACACAAACGTGCAACTTAGGAAAGCACTGCTGCCCAGTATTCATCTTTAGGTAGAGGGCAGTCCAGAGTCCAATCTTCATTTGAGATACAGTTCCTGTAGCAGTTAATCATGTGGCCTCTGAAACCTGATGACTTTTCCTTAAAACCCAGCTCCAAGGCTGGCGCCACGACTCACTAGGCTAATCCTCTGCCTGGGGCGCCAACACCCTGGGTTCTAGTCCCGGTTGGGGCACTGGATTCTGTCTTGGTTGCTCCTCTTCCAGTCCAGCTCTCTCCTGTGGCCTGGGAATGCAGTGGAGGATGGCCCAAGTGCTTGGGCCCTGCACCTGCATGGGAAACCAGGCTCCTGGCTTCAGATCGGCGCAGCGCACGGGCCGTAGCAGCCATTGGGGGGTGAACCAACGGAAGGAAGACCTTTCTTTCTGTCTCTTTCACTCTCATTGTCTAACTCTGCCTGTCAAAAAAACAAACAAACAAACAAAAAAAAAAAAAAACAGCTCCAACATTTAACAGTGTATGACTTCCACAGGTAAAACAATCTTGTGGTACTTTAGTTTCTCTATCTATAAGATGTGCAAAAAAGTAAGTTACCTTCAATCCATAGGATTGTAGAATGAATTTCTTTTACATAAATGTTTTAAATCAGCACCCATCATGAATAAGTTCTCAAAAAATGAGAACTACTTTTTTATTCCCATGTTTTGAACACAACAATCAAAAACTTTGAAATTATATTTACAGTCATATAAGTCTACTTATTTTCATTCTAAAATGGTTTTATGTAATTTTCAGTTGCTATAATATTAGACTTACTGAATTAAAAAGTACACATCCACCTTTCGGCATCACCCGTAACCTTGCAATAGGGGAATTAATAAGTTAGTTAACAATTTTATCTATTAAAGGAGAAGATTTGGGGATCCAAAAGAACTTAACCCAGGGGAAAGATTAATTATAAAGCTTGGAAATATGAATGTAAGTTTAGATAGGACTTATTCTGCAGTAGAGAAGGCTTTATAATAATCTGTTTAAAATGCCTTATATTACCACAAGACTGTCACAGTCATAAATACAAGAGAGACTTGATTTCTTATGACCTGTATTCCAGAGTAATTAGGCAGAAAGTTATTTCCTGCTTTAGGAATAATCCCTCCACCTCTGATTCCATGATACCATGACTATCTGATTTTTCAGTATCTTTCTTAATGTTCTTTTTGCAGTTTTTGAAAAATCATTCATTCTTAGTTTCTTCAAAAAGTAAAATATTTGTATATTCTAAAAAAAATATTACTGGATACAACTTAAAATAAAAACCACTGCTTAAAATGACAACCCATAATATCCTGTTCCAATTCTTTGAACCCTATCTCTTCTTCTTGGTGGACTATTTCAAAAGTACTTGTTAGCTTAATCCATAAAATTAAATGAGATTTATACACTATTGCTTGATGCGTCCGTTTCGGTTCCTTAGCTTTATTTTCATATCACTATAACAACCTATTTACTATTTATCATCAGTATCCACACACCAGATTTAAATCCTTAAAAAGCAGAGACATTTGTCCCTTTTACTCATTGCTATTTTCCCAGTAGTAAAAATGTGCTTGGGGGCCAGTGCCGTGGTTCAGTGGGTTAAAGCTGTGGCCTATAGGGCTGGCATCCCTTATGGGCTCCAGTTTGAAACCTGCTGCTCCACCTCTGATCCAGCTCTCTGCCAAGGTGCCAGGGAAAGCAGCAGAGAATGGCCCAAGTACTTGGGTCCCTGCACCCACATAGGAGTCCTGGAAGAAGCTCATGACTCCTGGCTTTGGACTGGCCCAGCCCTAGCCTTTGTGGCCTTTTGGGGAGTGAACCAGCAGATAGAAGATCTAGCTCTCTTTCTCTCGCTCCTTCTCTCACTGTAATTCTACCTTTCAAATAAATAAATAAATTTTTAAAAGAAAGAGAGAGAACTGTGATTGGCACTTAAACCCAACATTGTTAAGACATAATGACGGCCAGCGCCGCGGCTCACTAGGCTAATCCTCTGCCTTGCGGCGCCTGCACCCCGGGTTCTAGTTCTGGTCGGTGCGCCGGATTCTTTCCCGGTTGCCCCTCTTCCAGGCCAGCTCTCTGCTGTGGCCCAGGAAGGCAGTGGAGGATGGCCCAAGTCCTTGGGCCCTGCACCCCATGAGAGACCAGGATAAGTACCTGGCTCCTGCCATCGGATCAGCGCCGTGTGTCGGTCGTAGCGCACCAGCCACAGCGGCCATTGGAGGGTGAACCACTGGCAAAGGAAGACCTTTCTCTCTGTCTCTCTCTCACACTGTCCACTCTGCCTGTCAAAAAAAAAAAAAAAAGACATAATGAGTAAATAGATAAAAAATGCCTACATATCACTGCCCAGTTTACTGTCTGATTTGTTATGAAGAAGGTATATTTCTTATTTATCTTTTTTTTGCATTTTCTGTGCATATAAACTATCAAAACTAAATGTCTTACTTCTTGAACCAGAATTGCCTGTTTTTTATAATGATTGAATCCCTCAATTTTCTTAAAAAAAAATGCTACCTCTTCCTTGATTATAGATGATGCTTCTGAAATGATGTAATTCAAGTTTTTGGTCTTCATTTTGATAGCTCATTTATGTATGTCTTTATTTAAGGGTATAAATTTTGACATGTACATTATTGTATTCAACTACTTCAGTGATAATTCCACTTAGCTATCTAAAAGTAAATGCAAGTGTCTTGTTTAAAAATATTTACAGATGAGGTTTCAAAGTTTGGAGTATTTGTTACGATGTTGCTTCTTTAGGTCAATTACTAAAAATATATCTCTATATTTTCTCTTTTTTATTGCTACTGCAAACAACTCTGACAAAAGCTTTCATTATATATTGCTTGCCTACTAATTCATATGTATCATTCACACTACAATCAGATTGTTGCACCAACTTTGACAAAAGTTGCATTTAGTTACAAATTCCAGTTATGCCATATATTCAAATTATTTTTCAGGTTTTATCTATCAATGCTGTCATGTACATCAAGTAAAATAAAAGTTAAAATCATAACGAATTTCTCAAGTATAGCACCATGCACTAAGTCTTAAGGGCATGGTTACTTTAAGAAATTCTGTTAGACTCCATGTCAATCACATGTAAGGAAATTTCTTCTACAGTACTAGGTATTTGTCATTATGTTTAAATCATAATCCATCTTGAAATTACTTTTGTACACAAAATTGGGAGAGTATTACTTTTTAAAAATAGAGGATAACAGATAAGTCTGAAATTTGGAAGGGTCTGAATATTGCTCTATTTGCACATCCATTACCTTTGAAAATTAAGGAAGTGGATCCAGAGGAGATGAGTCTTTAAATTTCTCCTGAGCAATTCATTATCTCTAACTCCAAAGGCAGATGCTATGCAATAATAAAGCTGAAATTCTGTAGAAATTTTAAAAAATATTTACATGCATTGTTTTCTAAAAATAGTTTTCTCCTTCACATTTAGTGACTAGTCATCCTTTCCCTAGTATTCTGCAAGGCAACTTGTTATTTAAGCATGTTTTCATATAAACAAAGTTACCTATTCTTTTTAATTGCTTTCTTTTTGTTTTTATATTAATTTTTAATTTGATTTTATTCACATTGAAAATGTTGTACTTTGTAATATTTTTGACATCTTAATACCAGATTCCTCCCTCTACTGGTTTCTTCCTGTTTTATTTCCTCATTCCCTCCCAGAAAGCTCCATGTCTTACGCTTTTTCAGTGGATCAAACCATTATTTTTAAATTACCGTTTTCTTACAAGAGATGTCTAGGATTTAGTCACACAGGCACAGAAGAAACAGAACTGAAAACTACAATTCATACAATCTGGATCAGCACAAAGAGGAAAATCTAAGTTGTAGAGCCAAAGACCAGAGCACAAGCAGTTCTTAAACACCAGAGTCCTTTCAAAATCTAGGGCTGCACTGAACAATGATATCTGGAGCAGTAGTTCATCTTTTGAAACTTTATCAAAAACGACCTGATTCCAAACCATTCCTATCGTAATTTGGCTCGCCAGCAGTTCCACATTCTAGCTACTGCTGTCTAGTCCCTAATTTTCCCTATCCCTACATCTTGGATTTAAGTCATACCTCCTGCCACTTTTACTGGATGATCTCAAGCATAAAGCCTTTTTCTTCTGAAAAGATGAGTGTCTACCAGCTGATATTCCTTTAAGTTGATTTTGTGCCCATGGGGCAACCAAACTATTTGGTTAGTTGACAAAGTATTACCTGGTAGGAAGAGTTGCCTTGCTTCTTTTTATTTCATTTTAAAGTTTGTTTATTTGTTTGAAAGGAAGAATGAAAGAAGATGGAAGAGAGAGAGAAGAGAAAGATAAATCCATCTTCCATCTACTGGTTCACTCCTCAAATACTCCAAAAGCCAGGGTTGAGCCAGGCTGAAACCAGGAATATGGAACTCCATTCAATTTTCCCACCTGGGTGTCAAGGCTCCGAGGACTTGGGTCATCATCTGCTGCTTCCAAGACTTGTTAGCAGAGAGCTGAATAGGAAGCAAAGGATTTGGTGCTCAAGCCAGCACTCCAATATGGGATGTGGGTGTCCTAAGTGGTAGCCTAACTGGCTGTACCACAACAGTTGCCCTGCTTTACTTTCTTACTTTGTAAGTGTCCTGAGTATTTTTGACACTTGACACTTTCCGAGAAAGTTTACAAACAGTTAGGTATCATGAAAGAAACTTTTTGTAATTTATTAGAAATTGAGCTTAATTCATGGTTCAAAACTAGGGGAATTGATGAATTATAACATTTAGTAATATTATTCATATACATTATGTTATTTTTCCACTTTTCAGATTTTATAAAATATTGAAATATTCAGAACATGAATAAATTAATTGATAACTTAGACTAACAACCCAACTATCACCAGTGGAGCATATAAAAATATGTGACTTCTTTAAATGGGTCTCTGTACAGCAGGAAAAATAAAAAACTATAATTATGTATTTGAGTATAAAGTAATCTCAAATAATAATATTGAACAAGAAAAATAAATTTCTGGGAAAAATATATTGAAATTTACTATGCTTCTGACCATATTTAGGTCAGAATCTGGCAATCTTGACTCCAGAATAATTTCTGACAAAGTTTTTCCTTTGATTTTTGCAAGTATACACAAATGCAAACATAAGAGCATTTACACAAAGTTCAAATATGGGTATAACTAATTTGTATAAGCTTAGTAATCCATACAGACAGAGCTACATAGGTATGTGTATACATACATGTATATATGTACCAAAATGTGAATACGTATTATCACAGAGTAGTAAGTTTTCATGAGGATAAAGAGCAGTGAAAACAGGATCAAAGAGCAGGATACATTCTTCTTATATATATTTACGTCTAGTATGGGTGGTATACATACACACACACACACAATAATCATGTACTGTTTTCAGTCTAATTTCACAATTAAAAATTAAAATTTAGCCAATTATTTACATAATTTTTAATATTTGTTTTTCTTGAGATAGATATAAATTATCCTAGAAAGAAGGAAAAATGAAATTTAGGTAGAATTTTCTGGGCTATTAATATATTGGCAGGTCAAAGAATGTGGAACAGATTGGATTCTATTGCCTTCTTTGAAGATAGCATTATATACAAAGAAGGCCAGCTTTGGCCCAGAACAGTCTTTAGGTCAAATTAATTATCTTTTGGGTTAAGAGAACTTGGTAGAAATTTGTAAACAGAGGCATGAAGCTTCTTTTTCTGTCGTTATTAGCTCAACATTTTGCAACTTAGTATTCATAGATTCTGTTCTTCATTCAAAATGATGAATAACATGATAAATGAAAGGCAGAAAAAAATTAGTGGCATTGTATTATGATAAATATCCAATTAGGGCAAATGTCAACTACACATGCACTACCTGCTAAGTCTAAAATCAAAATTGAAATCTGAATTTGATGTTTCAGACAGGGTTGTTTACAGAAATATAATTAAAACCAGAATCTTCTTTTAACTCGGGAAATCTCTCCAAGAAAATAGTAAAGAAAATGTTTTATTGTTGAATAAGCATGATATCAGAATATGATGTACATTATAGAGTATCTGCTAAGAGAATGAAAAAAAAACAGAAAGAAATCTCCCTTTTTATATAACCACAAAACAATTTGCATAGATTTAAAACACGAAGACTTGTTGATACTATTTTTTACACAAGTTCTTTATAGATGCAACTAGTAATTCAGATAATCTTCTATATTAGTAACTGAGTTTGCCCAGATAAAATTTTCTTATGTTTATATCAGATGTTTAACTTCCCACTGGAGTTAGACATCTCCTACCCTACCATATAATGTAGGAGATAGTGGCTTTTTTTTCCCTCCGTGTTTGCATTTCAGAGAACTAGCTCCTGTCTTCTAGAAAAAAAGATATTCCTAGGCCATCATAATGACAAAAGATCAGCCAACAAAAACATACCTATTCTCAAAATAACTTATATGTATTTCAGATAGTTGAGAAAGTACTGAGGAGTTTTCTGAGATAAGGACCTTAAATAGAAGGAAAATGAAATGCTTCCTTAGTTGCCCTACATTTACCAAATAAAATAAAGGAATTGCAAACAATTTGATTTCAGATAACACAAGACTAAACCATGCCACATTTGGGATAAATCTGGTAACTCTGGCAGGCTTGTTCCCAGGATAAATACTGGCATGGTACCTAGAAGAAAACAAACTTATCCTCAAGCTCACTCAGTTGTGTCAGACAGATGGTCTTTCAGCAACACCCAGAAGATTCCAGGCTCAGATTTTAAACACAGATTTCTATTTACTAAGATTTTAAAAATTATTTATTTGAAAGTCAGAGTTAGAGTAAGAGGGAGAGTGATCTTCCATCTGCTGGTTCTCTCCCAAAGTCACTGCAACAGAATGAGGCAACTAGAACTCCATCCAGGTACCTCAGCACATTAGTGGGAGCACTGTCGGGCAATGAGCAAAGCTGTTGACTGCCCACGTGGGAGATCCACTTGAAGCTCCTGGCTTCTGCCTTCAGTATGTCTCAGCCCTGGCCTTTGAGTACATTTGTACATTTGGGGGATGAAGAGCCAGTGGATGGAAGATTTCTCTCTCTCTCTCTTTCTCACTCTCTCTCTATCTCCCCTTCTGTCTGTAACTTTGACTTTCATTTATATAAATCTTTTTTTAAAGATTTTCTTAATTTATTTGCAAGGTAGAGTTACAGACAGTGAGACAGAGAGAAAGGTCTTCCCTCCTTTGGTTCACTCTCTAAATGGCCGCAAAGGCTGGAGCTCCCATGTGGGTGCAGGGGCCCAAGGACTTGGGCCATCTTCCACTGCTTTTTCAGGCCACAGCAGAGCACTGGATTGGAAGAGAAGCAGCCAGGACTAGAACCGGCACCCATATGGGATGTTGGTGCTGCATGCAGAGGATTAACCTACTGTGCCACAGCGCCAGCCCCCATATAAATAGATCTTAAAAAAAAAAAAAAAAAAGAATTTATAGGCAGTTAGGAAAGCCCCTCTGGGAATAAGGAACCAGGTGATTATATGAAACCTGCCATCTACTGATGAGACAAAAAGCATTTCCCCAAGAAAATAAAAGATTTATAGGGAACACGGTGGGTTTCATATCCAGAGGTAACCATATGAGAAAGTAAGCTCTGGCATCATACCAGAACACACCACACAGTAGCAAGTCTCAAGCACTTAGCAACTGCTCATGTAGGCATAACCTGCTTTAAGTGGTCTGGTAAACAATATTTCTCAACTATCACATCCTCCACGTGGTTGACTTGGTAACTTTGGTCACATCCGTGACCTAAGAGACACAGAAAAAAAAACAAAGTAGGCCCCTGACATATTGAAACTATATGTAGAAGAGTTAATTAACATGAACTCTCTATAAAAGTTTCCAATACCCAGATCTTCACAGACCTGTCCTTGGTAACAGGAGTCTTGATTGTCAATTCTCTATAAAGTCTACCTCTCAATAAAACTATTGCTTGGTTCACTACCAGCCCCCACACATCTTATTATCCCCATCATAATTCTTCATCCCTGTGAGACAATAAACCAGCTCTAAATTCTGGTAGCATTAGCAGAAACGCTGGGTCAGAAATGGAGCAGCACAAACCCAGATTGTCACTCATCTGGGATGTCGGCATCTCAGGCCCCACTGCACTGCTTTTTCACTTAGACTTCTTATTTATTTATTTATTTGACAGGCAGTGTTAGACAGTGAGGGAGGGAGAGAGAGAGAGAGAGAGAGAGAGAGAAAGAGAGAGAGAGGAAAGTGAAAGGTCTTCCTTTGCCGTTGGTTCACCCCCCAGTGGCTGCTATGGCCGGCGCACTGCGCCGATCTGAAGCCAGGAACCAGGTGCTTCTCCTGGTCTACCATGCAGGTGCAGGGCCCAAGCACTTGGGCCATCCTTCACTGCCTTCCCGGGCCACAGAAGAGAGCTGGACTGGAAGAGGAGCAGCCAAGACAGAATCCGGCACCCCGACTGGGGTTAGAACCCTGGGTGCCGGCAGAGGATTAGCCTAGTGAGCTGTGGCGCTGGCCTCACTTAAACTTCTTTTGTGAGAGTTCTTATACATGTCAGTTCATAAGGGGAGAAAGCAAGCAAAGACAGGTCAACCTGGGGAGTCTGCAAAACACTTCACACAAAGAACCTTGCAAAAATACTACAGACATGTAAAAATCTTTTGGGATGGAGATCTTAGAAGGGTAGGAGTGGGGTTTGAACCAAATCACAAAATAAACAAAAGCCATTTAAATTATGCAATTATTGCAAGTAAGTTTAAATGCCCATGCTTTTTTTGCACACTGAAAGCATCCTAATACAGCCTGATTTTTATTCCTGTGAAGATGAAAAGGCTAATGAATTACTAACAGTCCATCCCAGGCTCAGCGCAGCTTACACCTGTTCTTTGATATGAAACTAGAACTGTTGTTTACAAACCTTGATCACTTAAACCCACAATTATTCTCAAGACTTGGCTCAAAAATATTTATTTCATTTGTATTTCTAAAGCTTTGCCTCACTGATCTTAGCAATTGCTATTATTTCAAGCCAAAAACACCTCTGTTCTCTTTCCTCTTATAGGTAAGAAATACAGAGGCTACTGAGCAGCTTGTTCTTGTAAGTCTTTGTGATTTTGCTTCTTAGCTTTCAATTCAATTTTTAATAAAAGTTCATTTTGACGCTTTTGAGGTTTACATGAAATTACCTTAAACACACACACACACACACACACACACACAATGGGAAGGGCATTTAGCCTAGTACTTAAGGTGCTCGTGTCTCACATCCAAATGCTGGGCTTCACGCCCAATACCAGCTCCTGAAGCCAACTTCCTGCTAAGGCAGACTCTGGAAGGCAGAGGTGATTGCTACAATGGCTGTCCTGCTGCCCATACGGAGACCTAGATTGAGTTCCTGGCTCCTGGCTTCAGCCAAACCCAGGCTTGGCCATTATGCATATTTGGGGAATAAACTTGCAGATGAGAGCTCAGTCTCTTTCTGTGTTATCATTCTGTCTCTCTTTCCTCACAAATAAATAATTAAGTAATAAAACACACTATTATCAACATGTAACCTTTACTGGCATAACAAATAAAAACTGGATTTTCTTATTCTCATCAATGGAACATATGAAGAGATTATGAAGGCCATAAATAAATCTTTCAAGGCATAACCTTCAGAAACCTCTTTATTTAATTAAGCTACAATGAAAAGAAAAAATAGTATATAAATCATCAACTCATATTTCCCAGCTAAACTTGTACACATGCAATATGTACTCATATATTCTACTCTGGCCAGGGATGCCACAGTAGTTGGAAAGTTTCCATGCCTCAATAGCATACACATTAAATTGATTGATCACTTAAGCCATCTCCTGCTTCCTTTGATCTCCCATCATTTGCTGGAGTGCCTGATGACTGACATTGCCAGCAGGAGCATATCACTAGACAGAGTGCTAGCCTTGAGAAACGGGGAAAAGAAACAAAAAGCTGTCCGTCAACTATACGTGATCAAAAAGCCGTATTTTACAGGCATATTATCACTGTCAAATAAATGAATAGTTAAGTGAAATAAATACGATCTGAAATTAGAGTAGAAAAGATATTTTACAACTTAAATTTTAAAAGACAGAATAATGCTAAGGATAAAATTATTTATGAATGCCACATTATTTTACAGTCCAAAGCATAGAAACAATTTTCAGATAACTCATATCTGCACTCTTGTGTAATATTTATGCAGCTTGGAAGCTGTGTAGTTTGTTGTTAATGATTTAACACTCTTGCTTTTTTTTTCTTTTTCCTCTGACTAAAGCAACAAACAGGAGCTAGCATAAGATCAGAGCATCTTGGCTCACCATATCTGAATATAACTATCAATCAATCATGTTTTCTTATCAGTTACATCAATTACCTCCCACTGCATAGGAAGGAAAATAAATTACACCATCTGGATCTCTTTGAACAGCATGAACTTAGAGGGTAGTTTAAGATGTAGTTTATGGTTTAATGCTCTGCTTTTGTTCATTATGATCCATAGCAATGATCTGAGATAGCAGCCTACTGCTATGTTTAATTACAACCCAAACAAGGGCGGATTAAGGAACATTATCAAAATTACCAAGTAAGTAACAGTCTCTTCTCTGCGGTTCCTAATACTATAATGTCATTTCCCAGGCTAACTCTCTTGTCCTAAAACTCTCAACATGCTCAGCCTCAGACTCTGTGCTCAAATATCTCAAGTTTTGAAAAAAAAAAATTTATATTCCCTAATCTTTTCACAGAAGAAAAAGTTTTTTGCAGTTTTCCCTTCTATATTAATAGATGCAATGTTATATGTAAAAGACATTGTTTCCCTCTTGCACTGGAGTAACAAGCACTTTGACCTAACAGGTCTTTGCCCCTCCAATGGCTGAGATTAAACCGAACTGCAGTGACAAGCTGTTTGTGCAGAAACACTTACACTAATGAAAGAAGCTTGTATTGAACCTTGAAATCTCAGAGTGCAATTCCCAAGGGAGTTGTTGCCAACCTTTTATCCCCAGCACCTTCCCTTTAACTAACTCTTCTGGCGACTCAGCTTTTTGTGTGTCAAGTGCCTGAGCTCCCCCTCTTCCCTCTGCCCTTCAGGAGCCCTCATCATCTTAATTGTGTTGAGTTATTTGACTTTCCCTACTCAGAAAACTCTTTCTCTCTTCTGTTGCTTTCATGCTGCATTCTAACCTGGGTTCAGCACATTTTAAAGTTATCTGATTAAAACCCAGTGAAACTAAACACAAGGGAGAGAACAGAATATAAAAGAAGCCAGATAACCTAAAGGAGATCAATTTAAATCTGTTTTTAAGGTTATTAATAATATGGAGCTTGCCTTCTGCCTATTTTAACGCACCTTATGGGAGCTGCAGCAAGGGGCCAGCAGGAATGTTTCTCTTTGATAGGTTTTGTCTTTGAGCACCTCTGCCATCCATCTGGAACATCTCAGTTTCAGTGGCTGTCACATTACTTCTTCGGTGCCTTTCAGTTTTCTTGGTCCTTCCTAATTTCTGGAAAACTAGTGCTATCTTAGCAGGGAAACAAAAAGGAGGGCAACAGCCTATTTAAGACGTCATTCTCAATGGAGCAATAAAACTTATTCAAATCTGCATAACTTGAATCAGTGGTGTCTCATCACAAGCTTAAGATTCTGATTCCTCCCATGAAAGATAATATTAAAAAAAGAATCTGTAAACACAGAAAAAGCTTCTTATCTTTTTTCCCAGCACTTTAGAGCCTTAGAATAATTTCCCACTTAATCTTAGAAAAATTTTCTTACATATTCAATATAAATAAAAGGAACACTGATGCATTATAAATATGAACAATGTGAGCAGAACTGCTAAGAAGGTAGTCATTGTCCACAGAAGACGAATGAACCCTACCCTTGAAGGCCACATGGTTGTGCAATTTTTATGGCTATCTGAAGAAAGCATATTGCTTTGGATAACAATAAACTGGTTTGCATTATTATCTCATTAGGCGTGTTCATTTTAAAGTTTTGTATATTTAGTTTTGTGTTGTTCATATGGGAGAGCTTGTGGGACTGGGCCCCGTACCACATACTAACAGCAGTTGCATACCATTCCTAGCAAAATTCTGGTAATCCATGATCCTGCAGAATAAGTCATAAAGAAACAGAAACTAGGCCAAACTTGAAGGACTCTATTTTTTTTTTTTTTTTGACAGGCAGAGTGGACAGTAAGAGAGAGAGAGACAGAGAGAAAGGTCTTCCTTTGCTGTTGGTTCACCCTCCAATGGCTGCCGCGGCCGGCGCGCTGCGGCCAGCGCACCGCGCTGATCCGATGGCAGGAGCCAGGAGCCAAGTGCTTTTATTCTTATATATTTATTTAAAATTTGTTTGTATGTACTCCCTAGAGAAACTGATTAGAGATGATACTTTTTAGAATACATCATTTTTTAAAATATAATGTAACAGTGAAGACTTTGTTGTTGAGCAGATTAAGCTGCAACTCAGTACTCACATCCCATATCAGGTGTCTAGTTCAAGTCCTGCTTCTATGTCTTCCCATCTACCTTTTTACTAAGAGGCAGCAAATACCAGCCCAAGTACTTGAACTTCTGCCACCCAAATGAGAGACCTAAAAAAGTTCTTGACCCCTGGCTTCAGCCAGACCAAACTCTGGTTGTTGTGAGCATTTGTGGGGTGAACAAGTGGAAGGAAGATTTCTCTCTCTCTCTCTCTCTCTCTCTCCCCCCCTCCCTCTCACTTTCACTCTCTCCCTGTTGCTCTTGCTCGTTCTCCTGCTCTGATTCACACTGCCTTTCAGATAAATAAATACATCCTTGAAAAAAATATAACACACAGGATTATCCGAATAGAGCAGACAAAGATGTTATGACAGAATGTGTGTTTATTTCAAATGATTTGGGGCTGGCATAGTGGCTCAGTGGGTTTCCCCGATACTTACAATGTTGATGTCTCATATTGGAGAGCCATTTGAGTCCCAGCCAGTTTCCTGTCCAGCTCCCTACTAATGTATCTGGGAAAGCAGCAAAAAAGTTATCTAAGTACCTGGAACTCTGCCACCATGCAGGAGACTTGGAGTTCCTGGCACTTGGCTTTGGCCTGTCCCAGTCGAGGGTGTTGTAGCCATTTCGGAAGTGAACCGGTTAGTGATGATCTCTCTCTCTTCTCCCCATCATCTGCCCCCATGTCATTCTGCCTTGAAAATAAATAAATAAATCTTTTTTAAAAAATTAAAACAAAATGTCAACAAGTTTGACTAAAAGCTTCTTCTAAAATGCTGTTTATTAGATATGGATTGTTATTGTACATTTCATTTAATTTTATTTAAGAATTATTTGTATTTTATGATAATCCGTTGTAGAGTTGTCAAAGCAACATAAATGTTAATCAAATAAATATTTTAAAAAAGGTTTAATCAAGTGTTATTAATCATTTTTGCACAGTTTTACTCTAGATGCATGTGTGTAATTATTTGATACCTAAAATATTCTTTCATTTGTTGGATTGTCTGTTTGGCATTTTTTAGCCTGAATTACAATCATTTTCTGCTGAGATAATTTGCAAAAAAATATCTACTGCATTCATTTACAAGAGATTTTGAGGGCAGAGTTTATAAAAATTGAGAACAATGATTTTTAGAGAGAAAACACTACCCCTTGGACACACTAGAAATGCTTCTCAATTTTGCTGCTACCATGAAAATTCCAACTCACACTCAATAAAAGATGTCCTTGAAGTAGCCCTTCACTGTAACAGATGGCACTCAATTTGGTCATTTCTACAAGAGATATCAATTTGTCTCCCAAAATGATGAGAATGCTGACAACATAGAAAGCATACAAGGCCAAGCGTGTATGAATCAAATGCACTGTAAGGTGGAATAAAGGTATTCAAAAGAGCTCATTATGAAACTGACTTTTCCAGGCCCAGAAAAAAAAAATGTAATTCAAGATTTTTTTCTTCCTCATTCTATGAAACTGGTATGTAGGTGTGTATGTATAAGCAGAGTAGGTCATACTTAGAGAATTAAAGCAAAGCGGGAGAATAAGCCCAAGGTTAATGGGGATGACTGGAATTGTGTAATCATCTAATAATTAGCTAAAGTCTGGGTTAGGAATTCACTATTAACTGTCACCTTGATGTGGCAAACCTTCCAGCAAAACAGAAGCAAATTGTAGAACCTTCCCTTAACATTCAAAACCTCACTCAACTAAGAGAAAAATACTGTGTGACACAAGGTCAATACTTCCTTTCCATTTCCTATACACGGTATTACACAGTTTAATTCTACCTGTAATAAAAGTAGGCAGAACTCTTTGACCTGGCCATGCTCAATCACGTTATCCATATGTTAAGAATAGACTACTATGGATTTAGCAGTTTTAAATTATTACTCTTACTTTGATTTAGTCTCATCTCGCCTCCCAAGCTAAAATTTTTTCCTTATTAAAATATAAATATGTATGCAACAGAATATATTAAAACTAATTTAAACTACTATAAAATATTAATGCACATAAATGTATGCAGACATAGGGTATATGTGTATACATATATATTCAAAACATATATAATTATAGGATGATTTTATTTGAATATCTTTTTTATGTATTTATTTTATTTTATTATTTGAAAAGCAGAATTAAAGAGAAGTAAGGAGAGAGTGGCACAGATATCTTCCGTCTGCTGTTTCACTCACCAAATGGCTGTAAAAGCCAAGGCCAGGACAAAGCCAGGAGTCTAGACCTCCACCCAGGTCTCCCATGTGGCTGTAGGGGCCCAAGCTCTTGGACTATCTTCTGCTGCTTTCCCAGGGGCATTAGCAGGCAGCTGGATTGGAAGTAGAGCAGCTGGTACAGAAACCAGCCCCTGTTTGAGTAAGTTAACAGCTTATTAGGAAACACCTATAAGCCAAACAAACTAGTTATGTCTATATTTGAATACACCATTGTATTAAACTGAATAAGAGCTCAGATGCCAAGACATGAACAAGGGATAAGAGAAACACATAATGCTGATGTTTAAGTCAATCATTTTTTCACCTCTTAAAAATATGTCTATTAACCTAAATCTATTTTAAAGACTATTATGCTCAGTCAAATGAGCCAGTCTCAAAAAGTCAAGTCTTGTAAGTCTTCTCTGATACATGGTGGTTTATATAGAATGAAACTGACATCTTATGATTTGACTATTGTTTTAGCCCTTGTCTATACTCCTGTGGAACAGTGGTCATTCTGTTTTTTACTTGTTGAACATCATGGTTAGTGGAGCTTTAATAAAACTGTGATTATAAAGTAAATTGAAATTATGTTAGTGTAAAAAATAAAGGAAAAGAAATGAAGGAAGGAAGGAAGGAGAGTGGATTGCAGGAGGGAGAGAGAGGGCTATGGTTATCTTCTTAGAATTATGTCTATGAAATACATGAAATTGGTTGTCTTGCGCCTGCATCCCATATGGGCGCTGGTTCTAGTCCTGGCTGCTCCTCTTCCAGTCCAGCTCTCTGCTGTGCCCTGGGAAGGCAGTGGCCTAAGTGCTTGGGCCTCTGCACCCACATGGGAGACCAGGAAGAAGCACCTGGCTCCTGGCTTCGGATCAGCGCAGTTCCGGCCATGGTGGTCATTTTGGGGGTGAACCAATGAAAGGAAGACCTTTCTCTCTGTCTCTCTTTCTCACTGTCTATAACTCTACCTGTCAAATTAATTAATTAATTAATTAAAATAAAAAATAGAAAATTATTTTTAAAAAAGAGTTTGATAAAATCATATAATGGGGCAGAGATTTGTCATACTGATTGAGAAGCCCATATTAGAGTACCTGAGTTTTATTCCTGGATTCACCTCGGGCTCATGACTCCAACTTCCTGTGAATGCAAACTCTGGAAGGCAGTGATGATGGTCCAAATAATTAGTTCCTGCCATCCACATGGGGACATAGATTGAATTCCAACCTCCTAGGTTTCACTTTTGGTCTAGCCTTGGCCATTTTGGGCATTTGAGCAGTGACCCAGAAGATAGTTCGTTCTTTCTCTCTCCCTCCCTCCCTCCCTCTCTCTCAGATTATTCAATTAAAGATATCAAGAAGACATGAAAATTTATAAGCACAAGTCTATTTTTTCATAGATCTATACCCAAAGGCAAATGAAATGTGAGTAAAACTATTCATCACACACATCTGGTCCTGCTAAAGAAAATGAGTTTTGTGAGGGCCAGTGCCATGGCATAGTGGGGAAAGCATCCGCCTGCAGCGTCAACATCCCATGTGGGCACCTGTTCAAGTCCCAGCTGCTCCACTTCTTTTGTGTTGTGTGTGGTTCATGTTTTTGTTGTGGGGACCGGCCCAAGGGGACAGTGAGAGAGAGAGACAGAGAGAAAAGGTCTTCCTTTTGCCGGTGGATCACCCTCCAATGGCCGCCGCTGCAGCCGCGCACCCCGCTGATCGATGGGAGCCGATGGCAGGAGCCAGGTTTCTGGGCGTCCATGGGGCTCCCATGGGGTGCAGGGCCCAAGCACCTGGGCCATCCTCCACTGCACTCCCTGGCCATAGCAGAGAGCTGGCCTGGAAGAGGGGCAACCGGGACAGAATCCGGCACCCCGACCGGGACTAGAACCCGGTGTGCTGGCGCCGCAAGGTGGAGGATTAGCCTATTGAGCCACGGCGCCGGCTTCCACTTCTGATCCAGCTCTCTGCTATGGCCTGAAAGCAGTATAAAATGGCCCAAGTGCTTGGGCTTCTGCACCCCCATGGGAGACACAGAAGCAGCTCCTGGCTCCTGGCTTTGGATTGGCCTGGCTGTAGCCACTGCAGCCATTTGAGGAGTGAACTAGCAGATGAAAGATTTTTCTCTCTGCCTTTGCCTCTCTGTAATTATGCCTTTCAAATAAATAAATAAATCTTTAAAAGAAAATAAGTATGTAGCCCACTAGTTCAATGATAGACTGAAAAAATATGAATGCAAAAATTAGCCAGAATATGTTAAATTTCACAAGAAACTGATTTGTTCAGATTTAAGTGACCAGATTTTCTTAAATTCTATGTCATGAATTTACTCTTCAAAACTGTTTTTGCATTGTAAGGAACTTGAAAATATTCATATTGATACAACAACCTTGGATTTTTTTGCCCAAGATTTTCTATACACATGATAATTTATTATATTGTATGACTATATTTATCACTGATTTAATGGCATATATCACATACAATATGATGTCCTGAAAAGAGACCTACTTCACAAAGAATAACATATTAATATTAATTTTTGTGAATACACTTACAACAAATTTGTCCATATAGAATCTCAAAATTACTTGTATGTTTGACTCCTTCTTGTCATCATAATTAAATATTAATTAATAAACTCTAGTAGGATTAATTCAAGAGCTGGAATTTTTAAATATTCAAGTTATTCTGCTTATTTAAAAAATAACTGAGCTCCATAATTATATCTTTCAATTTTTATTTTGTTTATTTGAAATGCAGAGACAAAGAGAGAGATACAGAGACAGAAAAACAGAGAAAGAGTTTTCATCTGCTGGTTTATTCTTCAAACACCTGAGAAACAGGAACTCAGTCCAGATCTCCTGCATGGGTGGCTGGAGCCCAACTATTGAGCCATTAACCGTTGTCTCCAAAGGAGCACATTAGCAGAAAGCTGGAATCATGAATGGAGCCCAGACTTGAACCTGTGTATTCAAAATGGGATGTAGTCATCTCAGTTGGCATCTTTGCAGCTATATCAATGCCTGCCTCTTTTTCTTTTTGATTTTTTTAAAGTTATTGATTTGGAGGCCAGCACTGTGGCACAGCATTGGCTTGCAATGCTGGTATCCCATATGGGCGCTGGTTTGCATCTCAACTGTTCTAATTCCAATCCAGCTCTCTGATAACATGCCTGTGAGAGCAGCAGATAGACCAAGTGCTTGCCCTGTAAGCAAATGGAAGACATGGAAAAAGATCCAGGCTCCTGGCTTCGGATCAGCTCAGCTACACCAGATGCAGCCATTCGGGGAGTGAACCAGGGAATAGAAGACCTCTCTTCTCTTTCTCTGTTTCTCTGTCTCCACCTCTCTCTGTAACTCTTTCTTGCATATAAATAAAAATAGATCTTTTAAAAAAGTTATTGATTGACTATATTTATTTGAGAGACAGAGACTAAGAGATAGAGCCAGCATATGTATCTTAAAATTATTTTCTTGTTATTGTAAATTAAAATAGCTTCTCAATCAGTGGTATCTAGGCTCAATAGCCATGTTTAAAGTTAAACATCATATGTTCATCCATGATAAAATTAGGTTATTCATTTATACCTTTTAAAACTAGAGCTATATAAACATGCAAAAACTTGTATTTTTTTTTCTGGTCATGACAATTATAGTAACATACAATGCATATTGAATATATCTCTAAATAAGACTTCAAAAAGTCCATGGGAATATGCTGAAAATTTGTTTATTTTGTTGCAAAAATATGTTGAAATCCCAGCATAGTATTTCAAAATGTGCACTTTCCTTTCAAATTTGAAGTCCCCTCATATGACTCAGTGTGTCCAGTAAGGAACTGGAATTCATTTAATGTAATGCTCTACTCTTATGCTTTCATTGCATGACCAACAATAGCACATGGTACACTAGCACAATTTCTAAGAATTGGATTAATCAAGTTAAAGTTTAGTGATATTGACCGTCAATTTGTTTTAACAGTTTTATTACAGAGAAGGTCTTCAATTTGGCAACTCTCATTTAAAATGAAAACAAACTGTTGCCTTGCTATATGTTTAAATTAAGTATGCTATTTTGGCCTTGACACATACAAAATAAGAACATTATTCAACAGTAGCACAACTTGTCCATGTATTAGTGAGAACTACTGGAGCTTAGTGTCCTCTGTAGACATTGAACACAATTACCTGATGAGTGGGGAAGGTGATTGTTTTTCACGGACTTGAGAGGGCATATGCAATAATTAAAAAAAAATTCTTTTGAAAAACTGACTGCCCTTTTGAACCTGGGTGGAGAGAATGATGACTGAAGCAGTCTTTAATGGAATTGCATTTGGACACCCTTGGCCAGACCTGAAGAAATGTTCCTTTGCTCGTGTGCATTTGACAAGCATTTGACAATTGGATTGAAGATCTTTTTTCATTACACATATTTTCATCCACATGTTTATGAAACACTGTGAAAGCACAAAAAAGCAATTATAAATACCATATTCTAAATCTAATTTTTATAACACTCAATTCTTCTCTTTATATAGAAATGTAGACGAGAGGCCAGGCAGCTTCAGGGTACCCTCCTGTCACCACCACTAATTTTGATATTAGCATCCCAATCACAGGATTTCATTTCCAAAATTTAAGGCTGACAGATAATCCGGAATTAAATGTATTCAATTAAAGAATCTCCTGTTAAGTAATTTTGAGTGTATACATAACAATTCTCTCCTTTAATGAGATTATAATAAAAATACTAGAAATAATAGGCAGTTTATTCTGATTATGACAAATAACAATTAAGAGATAGTTTAGAACAAGTCCTGAAAGATACATTGAATATTATGAAAAGATTCATAACACATGGCCATGCAGTCACAAAATCAAAAAGGACTCTGCATCGCTAGATAACATCAAGAGTTGAATATTCCTGAAACTGTCATATTCATTCGGAGTCTTGTTAAAGTCTAACTAATTGTTTGATAGTACTGAAGCTCTTAAGACTTTGTAATTACACTTTGTAATGTGTACTTGTTTACTAATATATTGCCTTTTTCAAACTAAATTTATGTGCAGAGATAAACATGTAAGTGTTAATATACTCAATAAAAATGTTATTTGCAAGTATTGATTAATTTGAAACATGGAATGGAGCACATTCAATAAAATGTGTACAACTGCTAACATTAAAATATTTCAATATTAAAAAAAGTAAAAAATTAAAGACTTTGTAAAGGTATAATTGAGAACCTAACCTCTAGTAAGAGGGAGTTGCACCTCAATGTCAGACTAAAGTGTAATAAAAAAACACTTTGATTTTCAGATGCATAGAAATGTTATCCGATAAAAACTGAAATTAGAAATGAGACAGAGTTTATTAGAAAGGTTTGTTATTGTTTACAAAGGTTTCTAGTTCCACTTCCATCAATAAGACGTTTTCAGGAGTGTCCATAAAATGAATATAGTTTTAAAAATGAAACTTAGCAACTATGCGTTCATCAATAACTGAACAGAAACTAAAATAAATTGTAGACATCATTCTTGGGCATGTCTGCAGTGGTCATGCAGTTATGTAAATCTTGAGTATAATGTGTATAGAGAATTTTCATGCCTTGGTATTCTGTCTTTTTTTTTTTTTTCCCTTTCCTTTCCATTCCTTTCCTTTCCGTGACTGATGTAAATCTGCACACTTACCTGGTAAACATAATTCCTTCAATTATTTCTTATTAAAACATTTCTAGATGTTCTCAAAGAGTTTTAAGTACTATTTTTAATATAATTGAATTAATGCTATAGTAAGTTGTTTTCAACATTGAATTCTCCCATGTTTGGTACACAGCTACCCAATACGTACACACACACATATACACA